CCCCCCCCCCCCAAACCCCACCCCCCCCCCCCCCCCCCCCCCCCCCCCCCCCCCCCCCCCCCCCCCCCCCCCCCCCCCCCCCCCCCCCCAACCCCCCCCCCCCCCCCCAACCCCCCCCCCCCAAAAAAGACCCCCCCCCCCCCCCCCGCGCCCCCCCCCCCCCCGCCAACCCCGGGGGGGGGGGGTTATATTATTTCCGGTTGTCACCTCACTGGTTTTTATAAAAATTTGAGTTTTCTGTAGATGTCACGATTTTGCAGCTAATTTTTTGACAGCTGTTTTTCCAAGCTACATACGGTATGAAACAAAATTGTTCGTACCATGTTTTGAAGTGCAGTATTTAAAGAATTTTAAATATAGTCAGTTACAGCTTCTTTGAAGAGCTACAAAACGGCTGTATTCTTTGTTTTATGCAGCAAAGTATGAAAAACTAAAACTGACAGAAGTGTCTTTTAGGTTACAAAGTAATGGAGATTGAAATTTCACAGTATTTCCTCTGCTTTTTTATTTTTGAGGCTACAAAAATATACTCCTTATGTTTGTATAGAGGCATCTGACTACGCATCTAATGAGAAAATAATTAAGAGTTGGAAGCATAACAAAAAATAGTTGTAGAGGAAATGCTATAAGAGTGGCATGTAACCTGTGACAGCTGATATACCTGAAACAAGTACGATAAAAGAGAAAAATTAAGTAGAAACGTCAGTATTTATATAAGAGAGAAGAAAAGCTTGTGAAGAAGTATACGTTTATCCGATAATTGAGTCGTGCGATGAAACAATAAATACGTATCATTGAACAGATTATTATCAGAGCGTCAACATGTACAGCAGCGTTCGTGTAAGTCTATTAGATCGCTCTCAGAAAAACAACATATACACTACAACTAATGAAAAGATAAACTCATAATTAATTCTCAATTTATTAAAACATTTCATATCACTCTGATTTGTAAAACAGTTTATTCTAGTATGTGATTAAAGTAAAATACAAAAGCAGATCTTGTTTATAAGTTACCGAACAACGAATAACGGGTATCAACTAATCCTGCCATTTAAACAGACATTAGACGCATCAGTATTCTGAGTAACGGGTATATATCATTCTTATTTGCTCTGAGTAACTCTCGTAATAAATCTTGACATCATTCAATGCCCTTGAATAAAGGTAATTTGTCTTTTTGCTCTATAGCAATTACGAAAAATGACGAATATGTTTTCAAGCGAAACATAATATCATTTCTGACGTTTAGGATACATATATATTTGCTTATAAAAAGAAACGTTGTTTCAACGGTATCATTATCTACTTTCAACATGTATAGTACATGTGAGTTAAAGTTTTCTAGTATGCAAAATAGAACCTGTACCAAGCATGCCTTATTAACAAACTATTTTATATTTATAGCTATTCCTACTATGAGATCCACTAGGCAGAAAACTTCCTGGCCGGAGTATGTTGGTCAGAATGGAAGACAAGTGGCGGCTATAATTAAAGCTAGTGGTACACACGTTCTTCTTTAACGTGTTTCCCTTGCATTTTCTTGAAGTATGTTTAGGTTTTAATCCTCAAATTTTGAGGGAAGGTCAACCAGTTACATATGATTATCGCACTGATCGCGTTCGGATTTTTGTGGATCAATTTGGAAGAGTTGTTCAACCACCAACTATTGGCTAATTAGTTGTTTACTATATATGAGCACAAAAATCTGTAATCAATTGTGTCACATATCGAAAGTGGCAACGAATTCTTTGTGATATCATATTAGCTTGAAAATATTCTCTCTGCTGTTATTTCTTGATAAATGAATTGTTCATTAAATGTGGTCTACATATAAAAAATATGATCGTTATGATAAGGGTAGATATAGAGTAACCATTTGTATAATTTATCGTCGAATAAAATGATGACAGCTCAATCTGACAGTGACATTCAGCTGATGTCGAGAAAAACATTAGTTATGAACAACTTTGACGTTAATAATATAACAATAGTATCACATCATTAGAAAGTCCAAAGAAAGCATGTGCGATTTCCAATTAAATTAAAATAGCGAAATATTTAGACAGTTTGCTCTTTTTATAATAAAATATTTATTAGATAGGATGCACGTCGTTTCCTTGACTGAATGTCTAGACTCTAAAGTCATATGAAATTTCAATGTCGGTGTCGGTATAGTAATGTACTGGAACATTAATAAATAATGCACTGTTTTGTGAAGTAGAAATTTCAAACGAAAGGTTCGATCAATGATCACATTTGCATCTTTGTTTCGTATAATGGACTCTCTGACTGGAGATATCACGCCATAATGAATAGATAAAAATATCAAGAACGATACGGGACAGCACAACGGCTGTACTGTGGTCCGACTGACACGAAGGTTAGTCTTCAGATCGAATCATCTAAAAGATTAGTAAATGGACAGGAACCGTTGGAAAAAGCCGTTTTGTTCTTTACTATAATAAAATATAATCGTAGCATTGAGAAAACATAGAGGAGAGATTTCGGCTATGTAAACACACGATTTCCGACACGTATTATGTGAATTCCAGTTGAACTCCAGAAGAACAAAAAACAAAATTCTAAAATCTCCATCTTTCCTAATCCAAAAAGCCAAAGAATACTAGATGTCTGTATTTTATGTTTCCATAGTTTGTCTACGTTATATATTTACGCATTCGACCGCCTACCTAAATGGTTTTCTAAAGTATTTTTGACTTATCGGCCAATTCAAACATATTATCTGTACAATCAAAGGTCATGTTGAACACATCAGAATAAACCATCTGAAAACTAGATTATAATTTATAATATCATTGGTTGTAAAGCGCTTAGATGGTACAACATTAATGAACAGAATAAACTATTTACCTAATCGAAATATAAACATTCGATTTATTTTTCAACTGAATGAATCTCTTAAGTGTTCTTTGGAAAAAACTATGTGGAGAGCATGTTCACTGTGAATGGCTAAAAGAAACTTTATTCTGATTATTATATTTATGTACAACAGTATAATTATTTATAAAAACAATTTGTTATCTAATCCAACTAGATAAGATGATGGTAAAAAACAAAAAATTTAAATGTAACAGTTGTTATTCGATTTTCATGTATTAAATTTCACTTTTCAAAAAAATTTCAATTTATATTCAATCTTTTTTTTTTGTATTGCAAAATAAGAAATATAGACATCTTGAATATTGTGATTAAAAATCATGTCGAATGAGACACTATTTATCGATTCAGTTTCATCCGAATCTGTACTCATTTTCTTTCAAATTGGTCGTATTTTTACTTTTTTATGTACAATATTCGGTCTATTTGGTAATATTTCGTTAATTTTTGTTCTCTATCATACAGCATCATCTCGTCGTGTAACATATGAATTATTAATTATATGCATTACTGTATTCAATAGTATTCGACTACTATCAGCTATTTATTATTATGTTATACACGCAAACTTTATTCCATTAAATTATAAAACTCATGCTATTTATATTATAATAAGTCGATATTCACACTTTGTTGCTAATTGGTTAAAAGTACTAGTTGCTATTGAACGATTTGTTACAATTAAATATTGGGTAGTAAGTAGACATCAATATCGAAAATTAAATCAACAAAAAAAACGAAGAATAATTATATTAATTTTTATTATACTTGTATGTGGTCTATTGAATCATCATCCAAATTTTATTCATGGTCGATTTATTTCAGTAAATATAGATCCTCGTCGTTTACTCATTGTACCAAAAGTAAATTTAAATTTTTACTATGGTGAAAATATTTTTAATGGTGCTTTATTTACAATTATCAGTTATACTTTCATTGATGATGCTATACCAATTTCAATATTATTTATATCAAATGGATGTTTACTCTATAGTCTTCATCATTTACCGTCTATTACACGACAAAAAATCAATGAATCTATATGGATTTTAACATTTTTAACATTTTTTTCAATCTTTCTTATACCAAGATCAATTTTGGTTTTATTTCATCTATATGTCGATCGTAAATATGTTGATGATACTAAACTAGCCATTGCCTTTCATCTGCTTCAAGGTAAGTGATTTTTTTTTTGTTTTTTCATTATTTCCATGTCTACAGCATATTCTTCTTTCAGTTAATATGGGAAGAATATGCAAATAAATCATTATCATCTGATGTCTAGTAAACTTTCGATTCATCGAATGATTAATTAAATAATTTTCTTGTTTTATCGAAAACAAAAACAGCACACATTTGTTGTTTTTGTCGAGTATTATATTATTCTGTCAATCTTTTTGTGTTGAATTGTAATGTATACTGAGAAGGAAAAAACTGAAGATATTAAATAAAAAGTTAACATATTTCTCGAGTCTCCTTTTCATCTACAACTTGATTTGTAACTTTAAACATAATAAACCAAAGAAAAATGATTACAGTATTTAATTTATCGTTGTATTTTCATGATCTCAATAGTGAGCAACAAGCTAAAAAAAGGTTAAAATGACGACGTTCGATATACAAATGATAAAACGGTGACAACGACAACATACTATAGTAGATATGCTAAGATCGTGTTTGTTCGAATCGTATCATTTAACATGCTTTATCATTATCTGTTGAGAAAAAAAAGTTAATTAAAACATAATCACGATTAAGCATTTTCTAGTGTAACCGAAATTATTTGGGATCATGATTAACAATATTTAATCACGTTGCAACAGAAATGTGTGTAGCCGCATTAATCACGGTTAAAAAGATAATCGTGATTTAACTCGTGATAGCCATAAATATAAATAAATACTCAGTGCGCAAGAGAAAGCTCATTTTTAAAACTCATCTAAAAAAAAAAAAAATTAAAAAAACTAAGTTTTGTGTTGGCATAAATACAGTAACACTCTTTAATCTGATCAATAAATTTGTTGAAACTGTCTGTTAATAAAACTTCTTGTACTTTTTTTCGAGCGCCACGATTCCGATGACTTGCTATTTCATTCGATATCATTTCATCTTTTAACAAATTTAATAGCAAGTTTGTTTCTTCATCAGACCACCAAGATCTTTTTGCTTCCTATTCGTTTTATTTTTGTAACTCTGAGTAATTATTTTTAACAAAAAAAAGTTAGTATTATAAAATTATTACTACTTAATTATTTATTAATCTGTAAAAGAGTATAGTAATGCTAGAAAAATTCTTTAATAGGCAAAACAGAGTTCAGGCTGATTAGTTATTGCAGTTGAGGAGTCATATGCAAGCCCCGCTATCATGATCCTCTTTTTCGATAGAGGCGGTTAAAGTTGGTTACACTACTAGTTTAATCACGATAAGCAGTCACGATTAAAGATAATCGTGATTATCTGCGTAGTGTAACCGTAGTGTTGCGCTAAATATTCGCAATTCTGACGTTAGTTAAAGAGCGATGAACAGGTGGATGGCTATTGTTTGATGATTACTATAAACAAGTGTTAATTGTTATTACAGGGTATCCACGGATGCCACAAGTCTTTTGTTCTTTTTTGTGATATCCTGCTCTTGAGTAAAATAAAATCTTATCTTATCTTATTTCGCAAAAGATTCCCATGAAATAATTTGAAGTGGCTAACGATCGTTCGAATGCTTTAAATATGAAAATAATTAAATATTTCATATTTAACACATTTAAATGGATTAAATTCCCAAACTTAACGCGGTCGAGCATGATTTCGAAAAAGAAACAATGAAAACTGCGTTCACACTCGTTTAACTTCTAAATTTAACGTGTTAGACTCGTTAAATGGGTCATATTTAACGTGTTCTAACGATCGTTCACCATTTCACATTGTTTCATCCGCTGGAGTAAATGGTACGAGTTGAGACGAAGATTGTTGTAAATCGATTTTTTCTTCACGATGGGTTTCCTTTACAAATTGAAGGGAATCTCTCCATTCATTCCACTAGATGACTTTCATTTCATCTCTGGTACTCTGGACTCTTGACAGTAATTATCTATCAGTAATCAAAATCATTTTTTATGAATGATACTTTTTTCATGTTATCCGTATCCGTTGTATCTGGTGTGCACACAATACATCATTCGATCAATAACCATATTTCAGTATCAAAATTGTACGTACTTCTTACGAATAAAAAAAGGCACAACATACACTGGATTATAAAAACTGAGATTTCAGCAACATTACAAAATGCATATGCTTTCTATTCGTCTGAGGAAATTAACGTTAAAAATCAATACAGAAAACTATATGCACTCACTTTTATGCTAAAAGAAAAAATGGTGGGGCTTCACTTGAGTGCGTCTCATTTGAGTGCGTTGCATTTTAGTGCGTGTTTTTTTTAGCATATCTCATCTGAGTGCGTTCTCGTCTGAGTGCGTTCTCATCTGAGTGCGTTCACATTTTAGCGCGTCTCATTTGGGTGCGCTCCCATTTTAGTGCGTCTCATTTGAGCGCATTCTCATTTTAGTGTGTCTTAGTTAACAGTTTTACAGATTATACAAAACCAGATTTGAGTAAGTAACTCTTATTATAATGATAAAGGAGCTTAAATCTATAAAACGCATGTCTTCTTAAAGGAACTCATATTCGCACGGCCGAGATCCAAGATAAAAAAAGGAAGGAACCACCGCCACCAACATCGTTACGAAAACTTTGTATTCCGGATTAATATGGAAGATTGTGTACAATTGAGAAAAGAGAAATTTTTTCCTGAAAATTTTGTTACAAGTTCATAGTTCGGGTAAGAAAGAATCTTTTGATATCAATTAGGCCTTATAAAATAATCTTCAAAATATCGATCTGTAGCAGGAGTATGTGATGTGGATGATGCTATTCAAAAATATTGTAAGCTACGCTGTTTCTCCTTTTACTATAAAAGATTACTAACCACTGAGAATTAATTTCAAACAGTGGTGACGGAAACAATTCAAATGTCTCAAAATATTTTGAGGAATGAGTTGTGTAATTGAAAGCGCACCCAAATAAGACGCACTAAACTAAGACACACTAAAATGAGATGCGCTAAAATGGGAACGCACTCAAATGAGACGCGCTAAGAAAACACGCACTAAAATGCAACGCACTCAAATGAGACGCACTCAGACGAGAACGCACTCAGATGAGATATGCTAAAAAAAACACGCACTAAAATGCAACGCACTCAAATGAGACGCACTCAAGTGAAGCCCCACCATTTTTTCTTTTAGCATAAAAGTGAGTGCATATAGNAAATGGGACCCCACAAAAATGTCCCCCCCTAAAAAAAAACCCACAAAAAATCAACCCCCAAAAATCCCACCCAAATAAATCCCCCCCCCCCCCCCCCCCCCCCCCCAGAAAAAATAGACAAGTGTGATAAATGAAGTCGAGCCTTCACATTGTTCTTTACTATTTTGATGCTATTAATAAACGACACGGATTGATAAAGATTCGACGAAACAAAAAAATTAATTAATCATTCGACAAATGAAGATCTAAGCGTTTAATCTTTAATTCAGTGCTACAGTTGTGACATATTTCGATTCCCTTTTAGGTCTGGAATTAATGAATCATTCAATAACTGGATATGCTTGTTACTTATCATGTTATCAATTACGAGTAGGCTTTTATAAATTATTTTGTCCATTTTCTTGGTCTAAAAGGTATCCGTCACGACGAAGTACTGATTCTGTGACACGTTTCAGTTTTACTTCTAGTAAAATTTAATTGTAGATGTATTTAATTGTTGAAATGTGTTTTTGCGACAGATCATGACGATCTACTACTAAATTATGAAATATCTACTTTGAAATAACACTGTTACAAATAGATTATTCTAAAATTGAAAAAGATAGCTCAAATAAATTATGATTTTTAAGAAACATTAATTCATTTCAAACAGACATACATACACAACAGGTCAAGTTATTCGAGCACGAATTTTTTCATTTTAGTTGGTACATTCCAATTTTTCATCAAAATGTGTGCATTTCAACAGTGTCAAAGAGTAAACAAACTGAAGGATGATTCTTATACGTTTTTCTGGTGATACGATTTTCGGTTTTGCAGAAATAAACATCCCATTTTTTTTGGAGAAAGTTCACTCGTAAATACAGCACTGAAACAAATTATTGGAGTAGGCTGTGCCCGCCCGTTTTACTTTTTTCCGTCAACCAGAGAGCTAAAGATAGATTTCCAAAGTAATTTAAGTTGCTGAAAGGTTTTCTTATTCGGAAATATAAATTAGAAGCGTCATTTAAAGCTACTGAACAATGAGTTTCTAAAAAACAGAAACTGTGAAAAATTCAGTAGTGTCAAGATTCGGAATTAATTTAGATTTAAATCTTTGAAAATTTGTAGAAGTTTCATAATTCGATTCTTTTAAACAATAATACGATTCGAACAGAGTTGAGCGACACATCTAGCATTCGAATTTTGCTCAATTTCGATAGAATTAAGCAGAATGTGTGTAGAAAACTTTTTTATGTGTGTATGATAGTATTTGTATTCTACTAATTATCAGATTCTACTCCGTTCTGTTGTAGTTATGACAGATTATGGTTGAATTCTGCAATAATTCTTTGATAACTAGTGTATAGTACAAGTGATGAGGTACGTTGTGGCGTGGGTGTAAGAACTGACCATACGAATTATGCTGAATTATTAAAATTTCCATGAAATTGGGAAACTTGACGCCTTTCGGAAAACTAAATTACAGAGGCGATATCAAAAAAAATTTTGTCGACGGCTCAGTTGTGTAGAGCTAACATTTTTGAACAAAATAAGACGTTTCACAACTCTTTCCAGAAACTTATTTTTTGTTAGTTTTAAATGGAATTTTTAATTTTATATCCCCGAATAAGAAAGTCTTTCGGTTACTCAAATTATGTGAGAAAATTGTCTTTAGCTATTTGATTGGCGAAAAAAATTAAAAGGAAGCGGTGCCCCTATTTTAATTTATCTAGTACTATATTCTCGACTAAAATGATATTCTCACAAGTCATTGCGAGATTTTTTTGTCTTTTATTTATCTCATCAAAAACTTCTTTAAAGACAGTCGTACGACTGTCAAAATAATGAAAATTGAATGGTGTGCTATGTTAGAATCTATAATACGAGTCGATGTCGATTCTTGTGCTATTCATTTCTAGATAGAATAAATTTGCGTATTATTTGAATAAATTTTTAATGAAAAAAGATAAAGAACTGTAGTTTTTACTAATCGACGGAGAGACGCGAGCACGTGTTTTCGTAAATAAAACAAAATTCAAAATCTTTTCTTGTAGTATGGTTTTGAAAGGATCTTTCGAAAGCTAGTTTAATTCTTCAAAAACTATACTGGTAATAGAATGTTTCGTCTGCATGATTTTATACCTTCAGAACATGAGCCGGGCACCCTCCTAATTATTAATGACCCGCGCGTGGTGTGCATCGACTTTTCAAAGAATCTACTGTTGATGAATTTGACTGATATTTCAATAATCTTGTCGAAAACTCCATTTTTGTAAAGATTTTGAGATTTCTTTTACTTACAATACTATGTACCTCGATCTCATCTGTCTAGTTCCATCAAAAAGTTAATCAAACAATGCCTCGACCTATTTTATTTTCGACACATAGGCCAAGATGAACAAGTGAAATCAGATTGACCTGACGCCTGCTCTATACAAAACAAAAATACAAGAGTTTTGTTTCGTAACAGCTACATTATATATTATAATTTGAATGTACCATTCAATGAAAGGCTTGTTTATCAAATTAAAACACAAGACTGTATGAAATAATTCAACATGATACTGTATTTAGAATCAAAAAAGGTTTTTACAAGTCGTAATTACATGATAAATAAGTATAGTCTAATATAGTTTATTTAATTATTTCTTTGTACTTGATTTTTCTGGTTGGGTTGGAAGTGTGTCTATCTGCTCTTTAATGTGCTCTAAATTTTGTTGTTGCTCAAGAGGAATTTTCTCACTAAACACATCTGTCTCATGGTAGGTTGGATTGACACCGCTACTTGTACCCGATTGATCACCTAATGTTGATGAAACTGCGGGTCCATCAGATAACAATAAACCACCTGGGCCTACGTTTCCTTCATTTGTCGACCGAACATTTTTATCATCTGCTCCATCCATAGTCTGAAAGTCAATCAAAAATGTGTTTAGTCAATTTGACGTGAATGATATCTGCTAATTCAAATAATACTAAAAACATCGGGCAAAATGCTCTTATTTCTATTGTTAAGGGGAGGAGTCCTGACACTCGTTTTTTTAATCGTTTTGTAGAGGACAGTATGAAATACACATGGTAAAATTTTTTCGGTCACCGAACATGTAATTCTTCGGGAAAATTTTTTTGAATTTTTTTCTCGTTTTTTTGCCCTATTTTAATATTTCAATAAAATTTTTGTTTTTCAAGAGATAAGCTTGAATCTATAGTCATTCGATAGACCATGTTGAAATGTATCTACAAAAACATTTTCATCGATATTGGATAAGGTTTGACGGAAAATTTTGGATATGACTTGCCTAATCAGTTTCTGGTATAAAAAGTATTTTGAAAAATCTTGCACAGAATCTCGCTTCAGGCAGGCATTATAGAAGAAAACTGTGGGAACATAAATTGTTTAGTATCAAATTCTACACTGGCTCACGAAGGGAAATTTCAGAAATTGCCAAAATACCATTTTTAAAAATTTAGTTTAAAAATCAAGTCTCAAAAATTTCAAAATTTCCCTTTGTGAGTCGGTGTAGAATTTGATACTGCACAATTTGTGTTCCCACAGTTTTCTTCTATAATGCTTCCTGAAGCAAACCCCTGTGCAAGGTCCTGAATGATTTTGCGCTCCGGTACTCAGAAAAACCGGTCTGAAATTTATTTTTTTCGATTTTTGAAACGTCCATGTGAAAGTGTCTATGTGCTATGAGCTGGAGATTTTCTGAAGACTATTCTCTGGCTCAGATGAAAATAGAAAGTAGAGTCAAAATTTGAGCGCCTTTTCTCGCAGTGGAGCGTCTCAGTGTTTTCAATTTTAAAGATTGACCTTGAGAAATTGAGCAACAGCAAAGTATCATATCATAGAAAACAATATGATAAACAACTTCTACACTCACATTTCCGCTCCAAATTACGCCCACGGAGGGACGCTGTAGACAAGATCTCGAAAACACACACTTTTGGCTCCCAAAATCCATTTTCAAGGTCAAATCCGAATTTCGTCGCCAAACCTTGTTTGAGAACGGTGACAATCTTTTCACATATACATCTCGATGTGCTCTATCGATTGGTTACAAAACCGAAGTTTCAAACTGATAGGTAAAACTTTGATTTAAATTTTAAAAAATTATATAATATAAAAAATATATTTTGAAGTGTCCTCTACAACACTTCAAAGTGTTTGGGATTGAAGTGACAAACCAAATCTAAATAGGAGGGCCCCTCTTAAGAGGCGTAAGCTTTTGTCAGTCTTTTACTCAAATTCACAAAGGAATAGACAAATCAGGTTCAAGAAGCGAGCTTGGCAATCAGATATCTTTCACCAAATGTCCAGCTTTATTCTATCCAGAGTTGGAAAAGAGTACTTAGCACGTTTTTTATGATTGACTTACCGTAGTAAATTGATACCAATACTCTATTGAATAGTAAACTATTTAATGATTGTATAGTTGTATTTTACTCTTTACGGTTTCTTTAAAAGAAAAATTGTCGTCTTTTTTCTCCGTTTCCTTCTCTTCTGATTTCTTTTTTAAAATGTTTGTCATTCTATCAAAAGAAACTTATTATGTGTTTTTACACTACCAAGAGTGCAAAAGTGAAAACAAACCTCGACGAAAAATACCGAGAAACTCCTAAATAATCCAATTGCTAAATTTCTTAGCGAATTTCCATTCAACATAAAGACATTAAGCAACTTCAAAGTAAATCTTTTAATGTTGTTAAGTGTGCTCTTTCTACTCGTGTGTGATAGATTTTCTAAATCTGGTCATACGACACACATAGTGATTAATGTGAAAATTCTGGTCGTTCCACTTAGCATAAAAAATGAGGATATTTAAGTGTTTGTGCTCAAGCGTTATGAAATATTGTTTCTCTATAATATGCACCATCCCACGTCCTGCAGAAATTGAAAATCAAGTTCTGAAGATTTTGTTGCTTGAAAATTCTTGATCAAGATTGTGATGCAGAATTTTCAAGAACATCAGGTCAGACGCATCAACAAATCTTAATCAGGTGTCACTACGACATTAAGTCTCTGAGAATTCTGTATCAAAAACTTAAGAAGATTTAATAAACAAAGCTATACTTGTTGTTCTCTAAATGAAAAATTATCATATCTGTTATATGGACATAACGTTTGATTGAACAGCTCCGGTATTGTCTGAACGGTACCGTAAGAGCTGTAAAGTGAGCAGTACTGCAGAGTTAACGCTATAGAATAGCAGATAAAGGTAAAAAAGAAGTACCTTACGAACCCAAAAACCTATTCAAGATTCTATGCAGATATCGAAAAGCTGTCAAAATTTTAACTGTCTATAATCAATGACTAATTGATTAATTGATTAATATGAGAATTAGTTACAAATCTTGATTAAGATCTTGATTAAGTTTTTCCAAGGCAGATTCTGTAAGATGTTGAACTGTAAGGTGATCTCAAAATCTTCACAGATGTCTAAAAAGTTGCGTAAGATCTTGAAGTAATTGAGCAAAAACTTGAGAAATCTTTCAGGTTTTAATCAAGATCTTGGTTCAAGATTTGTAACCTATGTGTAACACACTTTGTAGTAAGCCACTCAATAAGTTTCTTTTTGTAGAGAATTGAATGGGAAACCTTAAAAAACTAATTCAAATTAAAAGAAGAAAACGGAGAAAAAAGAAAATGGTAATAGACTACATTCTTCTCCGGACCGTTATTTGTCAGATAGCCGCAGTCGAAAAGCTTAGTCTTTCCCCGCCCATCTTTGAAATACGGTGAGTAATAAAAATAAATGAAGAACAGCAATATCGTAAACTGAAGTGTTTATATGAGAATTACTTTATCTGAAAAATTTTTTTTTTACTATTTTCAATCTTTCTGTGTCAAATGAGCGTGCATTTTTCTCCTTCTGATACTTTTGTTAATACATTTTATAGTAAATCTCTATAAAGAAAAATTTTTCGTTCTGACGAAATTTTATCTGATAAAATAGGGTAAAAATTTTTTGCTTTTTCTTTTCTATTGTCTGACGTTTTAAAATGACTAAAATACTGAGTTGATTTCAGTATGTTAATATAAGACGACACTGATGGAGAGGAGAAATGTGCCGTTATTTCTTCGGTTACTCTTACAGCGCGGATGCTGCGTGAATTGAGCTTATTTATTTCTGATGTTCTAAGAGACATATGTCAACAATCTATTGACATAGGAGTTTTTCAGTCAAGTTTTAAAATTGGATCGATAATGATTATACAATAGCCAAAGAACACTATTTACCGGGAAACTACCGACCTATAACATTATTGCCCACTCTTTCGAAGGTTATAGAACGTGTGATATTTAATGTTCTATATGATCAGCTAACTAAAAATAGCCTGTTAAACGCCATGTAATGTGGATTTCACAGAAAACATAGCACAATCACACAACTAATAGAGTTTGTTCATAGTATACATAAAGATCTGAGAACGGTAAAGACGTTAAAGATAGCAAGGATACGCTGGCAGCTTTTCTAGATTTTAGTAAAGCATTTGACAACATGTGGATCAAAGCACTTTTACACAAATTAGAGAAAAAAGGAGTTAGGAAAAATCTGTTAAATTGGTTCGAAAGTTATCTTATTGGAAGATCGATTGTGACTATCGTTAGTGGGCAGAGCTCAAAGCCAAGAAATATCAATCGCAGTGTCTCACAAGAGTCTGTTTTGGGTTCTATTTTGTTTTTAGTATACATCGACAATTTTGGTTCAAATATGGAGTGTATCACCAGAAAGTTTGCTGATGATACAACAATGTCTTATTGCCAATCAGGATCGGACGAAACTAATAGTTGATATGAGCAATGATTTAAAGAAAGCATATAATTCGTCAATGGAGTAGCAACTGCCTCGAAATATTGACAAATGCTTTTGTATGCTATTCTCAAGAAAATCCTCTAATCTGCCTATTGCTCCTGGTTTTATTGGTGCAGCACAACTAGGTTTCGTTTCTGAGCATAAAAGTTTAGGCGTTGTAGTACCAAATAAGTTAAGTTGGCAAGCTCACATTAAACACATTACTCCTAAGTGTTATAAAATAATTAACTTATTGAAGTTCTTCAAATATAACCTATCTACAATCGTCCTTGAACAGGATTTATAGTTCATTTTTTCTACCAACAATAGGTTATGCTGATTGCATGTACACCTCCACATATGAAAGTCTTTTAACTGACTATATAACTTAGAATATCAGGCTGCGTTAGCTGTAAGTGGAGCCCTGCGATTGTCAAGTAGAGAAAATTTTTTATCGCTTATATTGTCCAACCAGTTTATCGTTAACCACGCCACTTTATATATCATTCAATAGAGGATTTCGCGGGCTACAAAATGTTATACTTGTGTTGGTGTCTATGTTTAAGGTCATGTAGATCAAACTGTTTTTATTTGAAAGAATAGCTAGTATTTACATCTTCATCATCGGTTGAAACACAAAAGTCTGAAACTTGAATACTGTCTGTAAATAGTTGAGCAAAATCGCGGTTTGGTCTGCCAACGCTCGTAGCTTAAGACCCAAATGGCAGAAGCAACATGACTGTAGCATCCAAGAATACGGTGTCCGATTGGGCATTCGCAATACCAGCCAGTGATCTCGTATTTGTTAAATTGTATGACTGAATGTCGAAAAGAGTGACGTTGCATCAATATTTTCCCATTGAGAAGTTAGAGATAAATTGTGTTGTTGTATCAGCTAAAAAAACTTACAATTCTAGGTAGTGAAGTGATGGTAGGTAGTTATTACCGCATGGACTTTATTTTTTTGGTTGAGAAGTGACAGCATTATTCCACTAACATCAACATCTCCAGGTTTCGACGTTGCAATTGGTTCTCTATAGCAGTTTATCAAAGCACAGACTATCGAAAGATAATCTTCGACAAACCCTAGTGACGAATTTTGCACTGTT